TCAATGTGTATATGTATATAGTATTGTAGTTAACAAGGTGATTGTCAAATATGCATCCTCATAAACTAAAGTTATGTGATCAAGAAGTTCTGTCTTTTTATATAAATAACTTTATCACCCAATAATACATTCTACAGTAGATATCGTTTGTTTGATATATTTCATAATCTACTGAATTTGATTGGTCAGTTGAAAAGGAACTACTTTTTTCTATTTTTAAAGAACAGTTCATTTCTTATTAAAAGTAACTTTTTTAATATTAAAAATGAACTATTGTTATTCAATTGAACTTGATGGAAACACTGGGTCAATATAAAGGACTTTGCAATGGTTGAATTGCTGTCAAAAAATGATGTATCACTACGCCATAATGTTCAGTAAAAGTTAAATCTACAGCAAAGAATTATATTTATCTATTTGTGCATGTAAGAAGGGATTGGGTGATAAATAAAATCTCCTACTCGTCTTTTTTGATATCAAAAAATATCAACACTCGTTGATAAAGTATAAAAAAAACTCGGCAGAGCCTCGTTTTTTGTTACTTTATGAACTTGTGTTGATATTTTTTGATATCAAAAAAGACTGGTAGGAGATTCTCTATATCTGTGCATACTAATTAATGATGTCAAGCATAGTTACCGCAAGATGTGATGTCACATAGTTACCACAAGATGTAGTATCTTCTGAAATGTGAAGAAATACACCGAGCGGAATCCCTCACACGAATTCAAAATGAAATTAGCAAACATATACCTAGCGTTAATAAATATATATATATTTATATGTATCACGATAATAATTATTACCTTAATAATAGAAGAATTTCAAGACATGTTATTACCGTAAACATACTAAAATATTGCAAACTGGTCCCACAGAAAAGGGTACATTCACTTTGCATCAAACAGTATTCAAACCAGCTTTGGTGGCAAAATGTTTTTTATTTCTCAGAATCAAGGGATGAATAAACTACTAGACTGCAAAATTTCATAAGCCGCCTATGTTGTATTGTATTCTATTCAGGACGCCTATTTCACACAAAATATTATTTTATATCCATGCGGACCTTCCATATTAACATCTATCTGCATAATAAGTTTATGAAAATATGCATTTAAACAACATTTAGATATTATCTACCACCTGTAGCACTTTCCCCTCAAACTAACAATAAATTATTTATTGGAATTTTAGATTAAACGGAAACGTTCTTGTCGCTGTAAAATACTCGATCAATATACCAGGTGTTAATTTATATAATAATTTAAAGCATATGAAATGACAATAAATTGCTTTTTGAATAAAACGGAAACATACTTTTTTTTCGTTATTGTAGCTGTAAAATAATATACAAATTATTATTTTATATAGCGTATTTCTACTGATGATTAAAGTAATCAGGTACCGCAGAAATTTGCAACACGTTTTAACATCCCATCTGTCCCCTCCCTTTTTAGGGATGGGCTGAACAAGAGTATGGTAGTTTCAGGGCTCCCAAAACTAGTTTAGGTTCTTGCGGAATTTGGTGTCCCCGTTTAATCATGAATTTATGTCGTTTTTGATGAATTGCTAAGGTTGCCGCAAGTTAGATGTGCAGAAGCTAGAAACCCCATGATATACTCTATAAAGCACAATTTACAGTCAGTTTTTCTTAAGAAATTTTGCGCCTATTCGAAGAGAACACCACCGGACCCCCACCCCCAGTGGTATCATTAGGACCGACATTAACTACAGGTTCATCATTTCTGCCTGTTTTTTTTGTCTCCTGTCGTTACTATCGGTCTAAATGATACCACAATCTTATCGGAAATTAGTTTTTGAACCCCGTATTGAACTCAGTAACTCTGACAACTTTATTTTTCAAGGGATATCCAAAAGAACAAAAATCGCCATATTGGATTCTATATTCATAGTTTTAAATTTACCTCATCTGGGCTATTCATAATTAGTTTTGTGGATAGAAATTGAACTCTGCGCCCTTAAAACCGTTAGCCTTTAGGCTATTAGACATAGTGTACATGTCATACCTAACGGAAGTAAAAAAATTAATGACGATTAATTAAAATTCCGACGTTTAGGATTTCATTTCTGCCATCATGTATTCTTGAATTTTATTTTTGAGATCAGAATTAAACCCAGCGACACCGAAAACCATATAAATGACATATCCAATTGGAAAAAATTTATCTTTAAATTCAGAGACATCGAAAACCTTATAGCTAAAAATCATCTTACGAAATAGCTATCACGAAAATACAATTTTTGAGAGGGTTTCTTTTGTTCCAATTCGTTATTTCAGCACATTTCGCCTCTTATCACCATTTGTGTTTGAAGAATTTAAAAAAAGAGTTATTATCCCAGCACTAAAACACACTGAAGACCGCCATATTGAATTATGTTAATTACGTCATTCCGCCATGGCCGAATTTGAATATGGTGTTGTCTGATATATGTATTATTGAACCAAACTTTATTGGTTCCATTTGCAATTTGATTTGGGATAAAAACGCTATCCTTCCCATACGCGACGTCATAGGTTGCACGCGATGGTGCCGCGTCAGCTAAGTCATGTGACACAAACTGACAAACATGACTTCTTTTAATACATTTTTTATTGCGTAGGGTATTTCCTCGCGAATACAATGTTTTGAGAAGGATTTGAAGAAAAATTTAGTTTGATTATGCCTTTAGTCCAAATATATCATCAGATCACCCAGTTTGTACCGTGGAAGGTATCTTAAAATGTTATTTTCTAATATAAAGGGAACAATTATAATTGTGATAAATATAATACATGTAGATAGGTTTTTATTGGCGCTAGGAATATGTCTGCTAATTTCATTTCGAATCTGGGTGCTGGAATATGGGTGAGAGATACCGCTCGGTTGTTAAGATCATATTTTTATACTAACTACCTACATGTACATCATTGTCTTGATAATGTAATCATTCATTGAGAACCATGTCAATTTGGCTTTGAAATATCCAAAAATGGTCTGGCTCCACAATTCAATGTTCAAAAGTATCCCAATGACTTTATTGGTGCTTGTGTTTGTGTAGGCTAATATATGCAAAGTCGTTCTGTATTTGCAGATCCAATGAGTGTATCCTGCTGTTCATTTTGTAAATGTATGATTGTCAACGAATTTTTTATTGTTATACCATTGTAATTAATTTTGCAGTGTTATTTTATTTTTTTTTTTTTACATTATCGAGCTTTTTTCGTGTTGTCACTTAAAAATTTGGTATTGAATTTTCGTGAAAAATTAATAAAAGTTTAATAAATATATTTTTCACTTTAGTTCACACAGCCAGATTCATTCTGACCTTTATTTCATAGATATTGAAAGAAAACTATAGCAGGTAGGATAAAATTGGAATAACGTCGGCGGCCATCTTTGATGACGTCATAGGGAATAACCTACCACATGGTGACTGTCCACCCAAGTCCAAAATACTGACTAAGCTATCTACTAAACATTTCTTCAAAGAAATGCTCCTTACTCAAACTTTCCTACAGAACCATAGTCAGATCCAGGACTATACCTGGCTATCCATATATATCCAAGGAATAACAAGGGCGGATACATGTTGTTTTTATACGTCCACATTCATAATGTGGACGTATATTGCCGTCGCCTCTGTGTGTGTGTGTGTGTGTGATCATCTTGAAACTTTACATACTTATTCCTTATACCCTAAGGATGGTCCCTATTGTTTTTGGTCGTCTACAGGCCGCATTTCTTAACGTATCATATTGAAACTTTGCATTCTTATTCTTTGTACCCTAAGGAACATCCATATCGTTTGGGGTGCATGCCCAACCCCCAGGGGCAGAGCCACGCCCATTTTATTGTGTGTCCGTGTGTCGCCTACAGGCCACAATTCTTAATCGATCGTCTTGAAAAAATTTCGTATGAATTCCTTTTTGGTGCATGCCCGACCCCCTGGGACAGAGCCACGCTCATTTCTTGTATTTATTTGTTTGGCATCTACAGAGCGCAGTTCTTAACAGATCATTTTGAAACTTTGCATACTCTAAGGATGCCCCTATTTTTTTTGGTGATTGCCAAACCCCCAGGGGCAGAGCCACACCCACTTTTTCTTTGTGTCTCTGTGAGTTGCATACAGGCCACGATTCCTAATGGATTGTCTTTGAACTTGGGATATGTATTCCTTATAGTCTAAGGACGACAACTGCATGTCCCGACCCCCAGGGGCAGAGCCACGGCCAATTTTTGTGTTTATCGTTTACAGGCCGGAATTCTGAATGGATCAACTTGGTACTTGGAATATGTATTCCTTATAGCCTAAGGGCGTCACTATTGATTTTGGTGAATGCCCCGACTCCCAGGGGCAGAGCCACGCCCAATTTTTGCCTTTATTGCCCGAAGGCTACAATTCTGAATGGATTATGTTGGAACTTGGTACCTATTTATATTGTTCCATATCCAACCCCCAGGGGCAGAGCCACACCCATTTTTTGTATTTATCGTCTACAGGCTGCATTTCTGAATGGATCATCTTGGAACTTTGCATATTTATTCCTTATACCGTAAAGACAGCAACTATTTATTTTGGTGCTTGCCCCGACCCCCTGGGGCAGTGTCACACCCACTTTTTTGTTAGTATTTTGTATGTAAATTTGGCAAAACAAACCCAACGCCTAGCCTTCTTTGCCATTTCATATTTCATTCTCTTCATTTTAAAAAGTACCATATCAATCAAAGCTGGAATGTTGGCGTATATTGCAGCGTTAGCGATGCTCTCGTTTTTTTTTAAAAAAAAGGGGTGCAAAAGCAAAGGGAAGTCCTGTCGAGCGTTGCACGGGATCTCGGTTTTTAGTTCCATCCGAAAGATTAGACGCTGTTTCTTGCCAGACACGGCATCCTGCATAAACATGGCTGTGTAAAATCAATAAAAACCAATGGCAATGTACAATTGCATAATTTCGTTTTTGGTACTTAATTAAATACTTTTGATTGTTTATTGTTGGGGCTTTTATTTTTATCATAATCATTTTAAATACCACACATACATAGACATAACTGAGGAACTTAGTGTTTTAGCTCACACATAAATGTAGACATCAATAAGGAACTTGGTGTCTTTGCTCGTACACAAAGGTAGACATAAATGAACTTAGTGTCTTGGCTTATAAGTATACATAACTAAGGAACGTAGAGTCTTTGTTCGTACACAAATGTAGACATATATAAGAAACTCATAATGCAAATCAAATTGTAGGAAATTAATATAGTCAAAATGTTAATTAGAAGATTTGATCATTTTGACGTAATTGAAACTTTGAGTATTGTCCTTGGATTGAATATAGGGTTGTGTTGTTGTTTATGTGCCTTATTGTCACTTTAAAATATGAGAATTGGTATCCTTGATCAACTTATACCAAGTTCTTTAGATCTCTTAATTATCGAAGTATTCGTTAGTAGACATTGGGCTTAGTTTCAAATATATTTTCCCCTTTCTTGATTTAAATATAAGGCAGCGTTCCATTCCAGTGAATATGGGCACCATACCATCTTAAACAGAAAAGAAACGCATGAATTAAGTCACCAACTGCACCATATTATCATAGCCACCAGATCCAAACTACATTCTCTACTTGCTTGTATTAATTGTGTACCTATCAATACCTGGCATATTTTTTCTGTATATGTAAAATCTAATTTGTTATTTAAGAAACAACCCAAGCCGCTTATATCACAAGACGTAAAAACAATCTTGGGGATTTTACACCATTCTTAAAGACACAAAGTGATTCAAAGATCTCCATACTAATTTCAAATTAAATCTTGCAAATCCTCACTAAGATACCAAGTTTAAACTTCAATGTATATGTCATAAACATTGTTAATGGTTGTGATAGAGTTTAAATCGATAGCTCTTCAAAAAAACTAACTTAATTAGGTCGGTACTTTGGTGACATTAAATATGTATTAAATATAAATATAACATTGTTCAATTAAATACATTTTAAAGTAGATAATGATTCATTAAACCCCAATTTTAATTGATGTACCACCTGTGTCCCTTCAACAACCAACTATAATAATGCGTAACTGCGTATCAACCTGCATCTTCATGATTTAAAGGAAAGTAAAACGGGGCGTAACTCTCAATATAGTTTTAAGATTCCATTTAAACCTACTTGGTATTTATACATTGTTCTAAAGCTGGCACCTTCTTTTCTTCTTCTCTAGCAGTTAATCTAGCTGTTCGTGGTCTCCGTTTAAACTGAAGGGTATCTGGTTAAACAGAAGTTAAACAGCACATCAATCAGATTGGTGATTCAAATTGTAAGAATGTGCGTCCTAATAGCTAGGCCAGTGGTTCTCAACCTTTTTTTGGCAACGGCACACCTTGGAACACATGAAAAATTAGCGGCACACCTGGCTAAATATATATGAAAAATATCTGAATTTTGCAAAATTAATATATGGCATGTCATAGACTGCATATAACCGTAGACACAGACTAGTCATAGAAACATAGAATGACTCAAACTAAATAAAGAAAAACACAGCTACGAACGTACCAGTTGACACCAGTGAATTCTCAATTGGAATCAGGTGGCTTTTCGCATTTTCTTAGTGTGCTGTTCAAAATTTCGCGGCACACTTAGGAAGATCTCGCGGCACAACCACACTGGTTGAGAATCACTGAGCTAGGCGTAAATCATGTTCCTGAAGCAACGACCGCGAGTTTTACAACAATGCCTTCTATTGAAGATGGGCGTAAATATAAACAAAAGCGCAAGATAATACCAGAATGAAACGTAAGCACTGAATACCATTCCCATTGGTATAAATCGAATGAAAGTCTGGTATACAATCATACGGTATCTCATGCTATCAACATTTGAGGATAGTTGTAGTTTCATCTTTCGCAGAATTAAATTTAGTTACATGTATCGATAATAAAGGGTTCCATAGTCGACAATGTTGTTTGTTCTATCGTGATTCAGTGATCATTTATTTCATTAATTCCATGGCTGTCAAACCGCTTAAGCTGTAAATAATTGCAAGAATCAAATATGCAAACAGTCGATTTACTCCATAATCGAACATTAATTCCGTCAGTAATCGACACAAAGAAAACCCTTTAAGATTCCTCTTTTGACGTTAAATTTTAAATTAGTATAATATACACACCAATAGATAAAATTGTAGTTTTGGTGTGACTGGGCAATCCCGTGTAATACTGCAATGTAAATCGATGTTCTGTTCTCCAGTCACTTATCAAGTCAATATTGGTAGAAAACAAAAGACCAATCTGATCATTGATTGATGTTAGCCATATTGGATATTTTGGTGTCTTTAACATACTTCCAACCTATAAAGAACGACGGTTACAAATATAGTATAAATTGCAATAATTTGAGCACAGTAAAGACACTAATGTGAGTGACAAAACCTTAAAATTAACTGGCTGCTTTATGAACCAGTCGATCTGATCAAATGACTATTTCGGTGCTTTAAACATAATAAAACGCGAAGATCACATTGTCATATTCATACAATTCAATGATAGACCAGTAGGTGAGTGGACACTGTCGTCTTCATAACCTTGAACCACTGACTTGATTGAAGGAGTTTCTATGGACTGTCTATAAAAACTCAAAAATGGGTACCATGTGCCTATTCCGATCAATATTGTGCTTTCGATCAAGCAATAGGTTTCAAACCAGTACTCGTCTGACCAACTTCTTGTAACGCATTTTGTTTGGAATAATAATATCCTTTATTATAGTTTAGATAATATGATATTTATTGTTTATGATTGTTTACTATTATTTATGCGCGCTAAATAAATCATGTAATACATAGTAACGATAAATCATGAAATAATAACAATGAATTATGTAAAAATAATAATCATGTAATAATAATCATCAATGGAAGTGTTTTATAATAGCATAATAGAGTTATTCAAATCCTACCTGTGTTCTTTGATCGTCTTCTTCTCTTTTATTCCAATATAAAAATCCCATTTTACTTCTTTCTTTCACTCCATTTAGAGGATTGGACTGTAATCAATACAGAAAATTTAAATACCCATTTAACTGTCAATAATCCCAATCTAGATTCTCTCCAAATTCCGAATACTAAAGATTTTTAAGTCGGTATCAAGATTCACGAATCAGCCTATTGGATTCAAAATGTCTGTCAAATACAAGGCAGCAACCGAAAATGTTAGGATATTTGTTTGTCACACAAACCTGGCAATTATACGGAAGTTCAAATACGACCTATTTTTGTTGTTTTTTTTTATTTCCTATTTTTATTTCTAATTTTGAAAAATAATTTCTAATTTTGTAAAATATGTTTTCATTTTGTTAAATATTTTTTTCATTTTGTAAATTTGTTTTCAATTTTGTAAATCTGCATTCAGAACCGTCAGACCGTCCAGGTTCACTTACATCTTCTACAGTAATAGGCCTGTGAGTAAGACGCTTGCAGGTGAGCCTACATACATGATGATGATCAAAGAATCAGTCGATGTTTGTCGAATGGTAGTCGAGAGAAACAGAAATCGTTTTTCGAAATGGAAATTAAAATACAAAATATAAAATCATAAGTTCAAAATTAAAAATAAAAGTTTAAAATTAAGAATTAATTTACAAAATTAGGAATTAATTTACAAAATTAGGAATTAATTTACAAAATTAGGAATTAATTGACAAAATTAGGAATTAATTGACAAAATGAGGAATTAATTTACAAAATGAGGAATTAATTTACAAAATTAGGAATTAATTTACAAAATTAGGAATTAATTTACAAAATTAGGAATTAATTACTTTACAAAATTCTACAAAATCCCAAATTAAAAATAGAAATTAAAAATGACAATCGCGACATTTATAGTGAACCGACACTGTGCATTTAGGCCCGTGTTTGAAATTGGGATGAACGTTTAAAGGCGGCATTTGAAACTGAAGAAATTTGGCAGTTTATGCAAACAATAATTGGGGACTACATAATTGTGCACTATCTGGATAATTATCTATTGTTGTGGGTGTGTGTATCTTCGCTTTGCTCTAGGGCATACCATATTACAATATTATCTACAGTGTGCACGCATGCAATGCATAGAAGGATAATTACCCATCCATTGATATTTATTTCCATCCCATATCTTTGAATTGCGCTAGGGAAACATTTACATGCACAACTACTGTACATTTTGAGCGCAGATTGCCATTGGCACATATTGCACACAGATTACACTAAAATAGACACAACTGACATGGAAATACGGCTTTGAGAAGTAGACCTTGACAATATCAGGATTTATGGCAGAAAGTCCTAGTCGTCAATCGATTATCCTAACGGTAAACAAGTTACACAAAAAATGATTCCAAAGTTTCCTTACCAGAAGTTCCCCGTATTTATCATACAATATATCGCCATTGTGTAGATACTGTACGGCTCGACCAGTCAAAATAAGATTGATTAAACACTGACTACAATCTTCCATATCTGTTAACAATTTCGCTTGATTGCAAGTCCCCATATCTTCCTTAATTCTGTAATAATACATTCAAGTCCACGTGTATTACTTAATTCTGTAGTAACACCGTTAATACATTCAACTACACATAATACCTTTCCTTTATCAATATTTCTCATATAACTTTTAGTTCTGTAATAACATTGGTCAAAATTTACCATATTACCTAATTTTTTTTAATAAAACTGTTGAGAAATTGCTAGTAATTTCACTCTGCTACAAATTCCCTAATCTGTATTAATTATGTAATAAGATTGCTAATAATTTCACACATCTTTAATTTGTATTACAGTTTTCCAAGATCTTTATACATGTACATATTATATTTTTTACACTGTAATCTACAATTGAATGACCGAATACAGAGAGATAACTTGCAAAAACCACAAATGTTTACAGGTATTTGTGATTACATGAATTTGTGTAAAGAACTAGGAATACCTTCGTACTGTTCGTGATAAAACCAAACTGTATAAAAACAACAAACATCCACAACCATTTAATCTCATAAACTAAAAAAAAAAATAAAAAAAAAAAAAATTAAATAAATGTAAAATTTCCAATAACATCTTGTGCATTAGTTTAAACGACAATGTATTTCAACATCCCAGTAAAAGAAAACTTTGGGAGTAAAGTAGAAACTCAACCGCCCCCTCGCTCTGCGTTAGTCTTCTGTGGCGACAAACCGTCACAGCACCATACAAAAAGTGTGGTACAGCCGTGGCAAACCTTGGAGTTCCGGGATGAACTGTGGATGATCGTGGTGCCATCTTGAGGAATCCTAGATCACCGTTGTAGAATTGGCGCTTACCGTGGTAAACCCTGCCGAAGACCACAGTGGCACCACAATACTGCTGTGAATTACCGGAAGGTCTACCGTGATGTTACGGTGTCACCACGGAATGCTCTTTTGGCACAGTTTACTAAGGTTTGCCGAGGTAGTCTAAAATATTTAAAAACATCCGTAGCGACCTACGGTGTTCAACACGGTGGACAAATCACCTCTGTTTCATTACGGTACCGCCAAGGATCCCTACGGTTGGCTGCAGTTTGCTCACTGGTCAAATACCAGTAACCACCGTTTATAGTTTGCCATTTTATACAATTTCTCTGATGCCAAAAACCATGTATGTTCATGTAAATACAAATACAGTCAAAAATATGTCTTACTCCTTTTAGACCACCTGATACCAATTCTCGCTTGAATATTAATAGAGTTAAATTTAGGAATTTACCTCATCTATATGTCGTTTCAAAAATAATTTTGCACTTTCAAACTGGTCGAATTCAAAGACATATATCTAGATTTAAGAAAGAAGATATATTACATTAGTAGAGTGGACCAAAATGATAAATTATAAGAAACAATTTATAAAAAAACAACAACGTCCAGTATTTGCATGAAATTAAAACATACCGCATTATCCACACACACACATTGGCCGGCTACCAAAACAACGTTTGAATACAGTAAACGACTTTTATAAAGATATAGACATGGGCATTATTCCAGAATATTGCAAGCACCAGAGATGAAACCGTTAAACTTTCTCAACCAATATGCCAACAATCAGTATGATTAAAAGCTAATTAATGCAACAAATGATTATGGATTCAATAGATTGCATTGAAGTATTGTCGCTTTGTGCATTTTTGAAAATATTCCATAAGCCAGATTTTTCTTACTCTTTTTAGAACACCTGATACCAGTTTCCTTTTGAGGAAATCACATAGCTAACAAATCTTGTACATCGAATTGCTTATATTATTTTTTTTAGCTCTACCAATAAACGTAAACATTCAAGTTTAAACATTTTAACGATCTCTGAGCTTGGGTAGTAACACGACAGAATACTATAGAGCCCGTGCTCCAATACAATTATCAAGTGAGCAGGTAATTTTCAAAGATAGCAAGAAAGCTCCTGTTTGACTGTGTTTACCCTTTCTGTGATAGCATCAGGTCTATATCGATAATCAGTATCAAAACAGACGTCAGCAAGATGAAGGCAAATACAGCACCTCTCTTTCTCTCCGGCTGTCCATAATATTTCAGCCAGAGCTTGAACTAGCGCCATATTCCTCTCTGACTCACTCGGTGTTAGGGGACTGAAAGGATTAATTGTGAAAGCTGTAGCGAAAATTAAAAAAAAAAACCCAAAACATATATAATTGAATAACGCTACACCAGGACCAGTTAGAATATACAGTAGGTGGCAATACAGTTTTCAAGATGATTTTGAAACGTTGTTCATGCAGTAACGGAAGTAGTAACTATATTACCGAAACCCTCAACAAACGGTAAAAGGAGTAATTTTAACATATGTTGGCTTTGATTTGCATTCTCTAACGGATTATTTTTCCAAGACGTACTGAAAACTGGAAAAACTGGAATATGTAATGATGTTTACCTGGTCGCTAAAAGATTTGTCTCGTCTCCAGTGGTGAATAAAAGATGTTTCAATAAAAAGGCCTGTATACATAATAATACACTTTTACTACCACACTGAAATAACAAGGATCTATCTACAATATGTGTCATTTGGACTGGTATCTTCGTATTTTATATTTTTATAAAACTACTGTAAATAAACATTTTCATAAATCAAGCTACAACTTCATCCTAAATTGTTTATTGGTATGCTTACTTTTCCGGAACTACTGATATTGGTTTTAATTCAAAATATTGTTTATATACATGTAGGAAGTCATCTTACTATTTGCTCTCTTGTATTTGCGTTTTGCTTAAAGGTACAGCAAGCCCGATCGTTCACATATTTATTTCAAAAGTAGAAAAATATGTACTATTTTAATATTGTTTCTATTCAGTTAAGTACATACAAGCTAAAGTTAAATAATGACAAGTCTGAATAACTTAAAATTGGAAGCAAATACCATGTCAGTATTAAACAAAAAGTCATTTTTTGAAAATTGGCGACACTGTAGTTGAAGCGAACACTAAGTCTGTACGAAATAGTGGCGTACAATTCAATTCTGCGTGCGATATGTCCGATAACATTACGTCTTTGTGCAAATCTGTCAACTTTCACCTTCACAATTGTCTATATTGACTATGCAACCTCGAAGATGCTAGTTAACTCCCTTGTAACATCCAGAATTGACTACTGCAACCATCAGAGAATATCACTCCAATTTTAAAGAACTTCACTGGTTCCCAATTAACAACTGAATTACATTCAAGATTTTATCCATGACCTATTCAACTATTAAATTGCGAAATTGTCCCAGAATACATAAAAAACCTCCATCCAGAACTCTGATCTGCAAGTAGCCTACTTGTTAAACCGAAAACCAAGACAATCGCAGGAACGAGCACCTTTAGCTTTATCTATGCTGCTGAATTATGGAATGATTTGAGTGAACCCCTGAAAAAATGCATCAGCATTAATAACCTTAAAACCGTTTTTTTCCGAAACGCTTTCAATTGCTGATTTATATATTCAGTGTGTTGTATGTGTTACAATCAACTGTCTGTTCCCGCTGATTTCGTGAAGTAGGTTTATTTTTAGCAATTCTTTTTCCCATTTTTATACTTTTTGCATAGCAATGTTTGGTGACTGTATAGTCTAGAGTTAAAGAAAAGTGTTTGAATTTACACTGTCTGTCCGGTCGCGGGAAATTGTCATCATTTTGAGGCGGAAGGATCAAGGGGTAAACAGACATAAATTACGTAAATAGGCGAAGAAAATGACGTCACAACCTATTACCGATTTGAGCAGGCGCACAAAAATCGAGACCATCAACCGCCCTCAACAATTTTCTACGAGATGATTGTGACATGTTGGGGTCTTTGTGGTTATAAAGATGAAGATCATTGCAAAAATGTTATAGGTAAAAACAATCCCATGCTTTTAACATTCACGTCAATGGTGAGATAATTACTAGTCTTAATCCACGATACAAATTATTGACTGAATGAGGCAAGAAGACCGCTAAAGACGTATTGTATTCTCAGAATATAATAGGTATAGTAAACGGTGATAGAAAAATGCCGCGTCAGTGACTCTTAGAGTGATTTGGTTCACTTACCCCTCTTTGCGTCTGTAGACCATAAGGAAAAGCGCTGTCGAGATAACAGAAAGTGATTGCGGATTTCTTCCATTCAGTGCTTAGGGAATGAATGGCTGAGCCATTAACAATATTTCTAATTTCCTAAAAAAAAAATCAAGTAAACTCTTAATTTATCTGAACATGAATGAAAAGGTATCTTTTTTTTTTTAAAAAAAACCAAACTTTATGTTAAACACAATTTCTTTCGAAAAGTGTTAATAAATGGTAACGCCTTCTAGAAAAGTACAGAAAGAAAGTGGTGCAATTTTCCTGCATCAACTATTATCTATAACGTGTCTACTAATCGCAACGAATTCGGCACAGATCACCTTTTAATTTTATATGACAATGACCAAAATCCATAGCATTAATTTGAGTATATCAATAGCATAAAAACAAAGATACCAGGGCTGTTTCCAGAGTGATGGGGTTCCCTCCAATAATATTTCTTCTACCAGGAACAAAACCAGATTGTATACCATATGTCGAGAATTCTACAACAGATAAAATTAAAGAATTGTAGCGTTTTAAAAAAATATATTCATAATAAAGAACATTTTTTTAATAGTTGAAAGTTTTCAAGCAAATGAAACCCGAAATCGTATAAAATAATATGATCTTTATTTTTTGTTATTTTCATGTGGACGTATATTGTCGTCGTCCCTGTCCGTCCGTTCACATTTGTTTGTGGACATTCTACAGGTCACAATTTTTATCCGATTTTAACGAAACTTGAAATATAGGCCTATCTCACAAGGATCTCGGTTCCTTTCGCTATTGGCATGCATCGGAACATAACTTCATGGATTATGGCCCCTGATTGTACGAAAAATCACATCTTTAGCTTGTAGACACTCTAGGGGTGACAATTTTCATCTGATTTAGATGAAACTTGAAATACACGTTTAGATCTTCATACCGCTCGATATTCGCGCATATCGGATGGTAACTTCCTGAATTATGACCCTTGATTGTACGAAAAATCGCGTTTTAGTTTGTGGACCAGCTAGGAGTCAAAATTTGTATTCAGTTTTAAAAATAAAACCGTTTAAATATATCACCGTTACACGTCAATGAAGGTTGAGTTCGAATTTCATAAAAATCTGACCGAAACTGCCAGACAAAATGGCAGTTCCTTGTCCGCAAATAGTGTAAAGGTATGTAATACCAAGGTTGTGGACACTCTAGAAATCACAATTTCTATTCGATGGTGATGAAACTTGAAAGGTGTGTTTATAATCCAAAGATCGTGGTCCCATTTGATATTTGCGCATATCGGACCGTAACTTCCTGGATTATGGCCGCTGTTTGTACGAAAAGTCGTGTTTTTCAGCTTGTGGATTCTCTAGTGGTCACAATTTTTAGCCGATTTCAAAAACCGTTTGAATAATATATCACCATTCCACCATGATGAAGGTTAAATTCGAATTTCGGGAAAATCGAAGCGAAACTGCCCAAAAATGGCCGCTCTTTGTACGCAAATTGTGTAAAAGGGTGTAATACAAAGGTTGTGGACTCTCTAGAGGTCACAATTTTTATCCGATTTTGATGAAACTTAAAATATATGTTTATGTTCCAAAGAACTCACCCCCTTTCCATATATGCGCACTTCAGACCATAACTTTCTGGATAATGGCCCCTGATTGTACGAAAAATCACTTTTGTTTTCAGCTTGTTCTCTATCCATCTCTTGCAAAATGTGTCTGTATCTTGCCTAGCAACCGCTGGTTGAATTTGTGTATTTCTCTGGTCTGTTCCTTTCAGGTATTATACGACTTATGACATTGTTGTACACAGAACTAAACCATTCTTTCATTCGTTCAGTTGGGTGAATATGGGTCTATATTATACTTTTCTGTACGGATTAATATGAGAATGCAAGTATATTGATAATGGGAACCTACCTTTAGATAGATTACTTCTATTCCTTCTCCAAGTATCAAAATCTAAGACGGGGATTTGAGGCTGGGGTATTGAAGGCGCGGTGTTTTTATCATCATTAGTAGTTCTTTTCTCAGATTTCTGCAAATATATAGGTATATAAATATGAATTATAATAACACATGTTAAAAATTTCATAATGCAAATACGATAATATTCATTGTTCCACACAATGTACATTGGGGAACTCCATTGTAGGAATAAGTGATTAAAAAACCATGATAATGCGTTCACCTGGATGTCCTTAAACTGAATACTGTCCTGTTCTAAGAACTTTAATATTTTCGCCAGCTGCTCAGCAGCATCAGTAGGAGAATCGAATTCCGTATCGGCCATCTTCCGTCATCTGACCTTCCGTCCTGTGATAATTCATTTTTTTTTATGAAAAAGAGGAATAAAGAAAATATAACATGTTATCCAGTTTAATAATAGTTATTACAAAAATAGGGAGTAAACCGTTAGTATCTAGAAATTCATTGTGCCGTACCAGTGACGTGCAGAGAGAGAGAGAAGAGAGAGAGAGAGAAGAGAGAGAGGGGGGGGCGACGTCCCCGGGTATCCATGTCAAAAATGCACCCAATCAAAGAGTGAAATTAAAAGTTATCTGACAGCAGTAATATACTAGGACCTATACTAGAATCTTGAGGGCATACGATCAAGGAGTTGGCACGGGGCTTCAGCAAACCTCAGCACTGCTCCATACACAACGATACGCAAATACAAACTGTAAACCACAAGATACACATATTATATAACTACCACGCGATCTCTTCATTAATTTCCTGGCCTGATTGATATCAGATCACAAAGACTCAGAATCCCCAAACTAGCGTAGCCAGGATTTAAAAAAAGCTTTTCAATTACTTCACCCATAAACACCAAAAGTTATTGAACTGATCTTATAAATACCTAGTGTAAAGAACTATGCTTTATCTCAATTAAAGTTTTGAAATTACCTGTATCAGAGTTATATGTAACCAAGATGGCAATGTATTATCAGCAACCAAGTAAATCGACTGTCAGTCCAGAATTTATTTGGATCCACCCAACTGAAAGTAATGCAAAGGAAACCTCTAGTATGACTGCCCTTGTTTTCGCTTTCACCCTCAAAAGGCCACTGTAATATATTAAGGATATTCAAGTTAAGAACTACTACTTATCTGACAGCAGTAATATACTAGGACCTATACTAGAATCTTGAGGGCATACGATCAAGGAGTTGGCACGGGGCTTCAGCAAACCTCAGCACTGCTCCATACACAACGATACGCAAATACAAACTGTAAACCACAAGATACACATATTATATAACTACCACGCGATCTCTTCATTAATTTCCTGGCCTGATTGATATCAGATCACAAAGACTCAGAATCCCCAAACTAGCGTAGCCAGGATTTAAAAAAAGCTTTTCAATTACTTCACCCATAAACACCAAAAGTTATTGAACTGATCTTATAAATACCTAGTGTAAAGAACTATGCTTTATCTCAATTAAAGTTTTGAAATTACCTGTATCAGAGTTATATGTAACCAAGATGGCAATGTATTATCAGCAACCAAGTAAATCGACTGTCAGTCCAGAATTTATTTGGATCCACCCAACTGAAAGTAATGCAAAGGAAACCTCTAGTATGACTGCCCTTGTTTTCGCTTTCACCCTCAAAAGGCCACTGTAATATATTAAGGATATTCAAGTTAAGAACTACTACTTCAACATATCAATTTCTAGTAAAATTTATAACTCTACTCTCAAATACAAGAGCCACAGAATGATATTATTGACAATTTCATCTTGAAAATTATAAGTGAGTTATAAAAATCTCCAAATAAAATAAATAAGCAAATTAAGTAACACTTAAGTCGGATTTGTATGAAATAAGTGTAAGATGAGTATTCATATATAAAACAATGGCTGCTTAACAATATTATCAGTGTTGTGGAATTATAGTCATACACGAGGGTCATACCACTTAAATAAAGACATTACAGAGATTTTAGTATGGATGTGCCAATTAACAATCGGTTTCTGTATCAAAATTTAGGAATAATAAGAACTGAAAAGTATTTTTTGATAGTAAGTTGTATCCAACCTAGGTTAGATCAATCTGATTAAACCCACGTTCCTATTGATGTGAGGGATTAGCCAATGAAACGGCCTGTTACGACGAGTTTTTGGCGTGAGTTGCATGGAACTGTGAATAACCCACTAGAGACATCAACGCTGATTTGTTAATCAAATGTCTATCGTCATATGATCAAAAGCCGCTCGTATGACATGGTCAGATCTTCATGTAGTAGAGGTCATCGAAAGTATAAAAATACGAAACGGAATATAGATCTGTATTTTAATCAGATTCAGGTTATATATTATAATGTGCTTGATATTCTACCTTAAAGAGTACATGGCTCTATTCTTTGGGTCTAAAATGACATATTAATGTGATATAAATGTATATAAAGTGATTTACATTCAATTTTTATTTTCGGTGAAATACAATTCATGAACTGTCCAAATTGAGCGACAGTGGTTGTTTACACCTGCTAAGTCCATTCTACGCGTTACTTAAGTTATTATTTTGTCGTTTGTGAATCAGCCATTAAACATACATTATGCAAGAGCTACATTATAGATCAGTGTATGTTCAAAGGAACACCGTCTTCATCTTGTATAATGCGGTGTTCACTGGTGGTTTGAGGCATTTCTCGTAAGTCATTGTGTACACAGTCTACGCGTACACCCAGTCAACCAGTTACCATTACCGTGGAAGCTATTTGGTCCAGGTCAATATTCGTCTTGGTTAGTCGAACCAACGACAATTAAGGCTGGAGCTACCGAGACAAATACACCCCATCCCCTTAAATATCAACTGACCTAGCTGTACGGAATAACTTTTAATTAGTTTTATAGGTCAATAACTTAAGAGAGGTATCCTTTATCTATTCATTTTATTGGTGTCCTCGACTACAGACACTTAATAACCACTTGATATAAATACATTCTGAATATTTAATAGTTCTTCAGGATCAAATAATATAACAGACGGCCGTCTTCGTGTATTTTAATACTTTCTTCAATATAATACATATAATTGATTTTACACAGGGGCGGATTGGGCCATCGGGCGATCGCCCGAAGGGTCGGTCGGACAAAAAATGAAAAAAATAATTTTGTCCAATTCGTCTAAAAAAAGACTTTTTCTGGTGAACATTATATGGGGTTGGGGGGTATTGGACCGGACATGGAGCGATGATGATCATGTTGTATATGGTCGGTGGCTTTAACGGGCCGCCACGCCATCACTGGAGTCTGAAATGGGCTGGTATAATAGACTTTCTGGGCCGGGTATGCTGGGTAGGGGCCGGAATTGGGAATCCTGCATTTCATCCGAAAATTTCATCGGATTCATCCGACACTGTCACCCGCAAATTTACTAATTATTAAGTCACCTGCACCCTGTTTGTGGGGATACGCCAGAAACGTCTGGCGATGTTTCGTAACTCCCCAAAAAAAAAATCAATTTTAAGGCCTCAGCAAAATTTGATGATAGCTGGTCTGCTGGCTGAATATGAGTGCGAGACGATTTCCTGAGGCTGGTGTTAAACATTCCTTGACATTTCTATTAACTCGTTATTTTCAGAGATGAAATTACAGAATTGGAATGTCGGGATTGGTCTCAAATTGCGGGAAATGGCCTCCCATTTCCAAAAATTCAAAAATGAATTGTGTCCCGTACGCCGTCGGCTCCCAATCCGTCAAGACCACCTGTTATACGGCCTTTAACCAGCGAAAGAACGTTATCTCAGTCCCCGTCCCCAACAAAAATGGGACATTTTTAAATGAAAATATTCCTACTTATTCAATATTGCTAACTGGTTAATCAAGTGGTCAAAATTTTCTCAACTAGTCCCATTTTTTAACCAGTTAAATTCTCTTGACTCTTGACGATACAATGATAATACGTTAATTAATAATATGACGATATGATAATTTCACAGGTTGATGGTTGTAAATTACTTGCAGGTCGGGATTTTGGCCTAAATTAATCGATTTATGCTACCAAATCGCATATTTGGGGTTCATTTTTCAAAATATTCCCGGGGAAGAGCCCCCGGACCCTCCATCCGGGCTCCGCGGTCAGTAAAAGGAGCCGCTCCGACACGGAAGCCCGGGCCGGTTCCCGGCCCCAATCCGCCCCTGATTTTACACAATGATAGAATATCTAAAATGAACAGTCAAATATTAAACAAAACTGGTAAATTCCGGGTTACGGTTGAGATAAGAAGGTCTTTATTTGTATCATTATTACTTCGTTTTGTTTTTAATTAACTTCTCATCAATTATTTTATCACAAGGACTGTACCTGTTTTTCACTGGTGGGGTTTTTATACCAATGATTTGCATTGAAACTCTCATGTATTAATTTAAGTCACGGGAGCAGGGGTGTTGCGTGTGTGTGTGTGTGTGGGGGGGGGGGGTAGTGTAACGTGTGTGTTTTAGATCATGAGGTCTATCATTGAGTCAAGTGGTGTGGATTAGATCCAAAGCTTGTATGTAAAAGGGAGTTGGGTAGCTTGCCCGACCTCCTGAGTTTTCTATACTCGATTGGTCGTACCCACTCTCTCTCCCGATGTTTTACGATTACGATTGAGTGAGGACAATTATTTATGACCGTGACCATCCATTGTTACGGTTGTATTGAGACATTAGCGTAAGGCGTGTACCCAAAACAGTCATATAATATGTACATAACAACGTTATTTTGTTCAGACTGGGGACAATATTGACAATATAAATAGGGGCTTTGTTTAGTTAATATAGTTTCTTTGGATATGTTTAAGCTGTAAGAAATATTTAAATTAATAAACGCAAGCCGTTATCATTAGTCATTTAGATACATTTAAACATTAGGCCTACTGTGATTTCTAATATATAGATTGAACAAGCATAGTTTTGTCTCTGCCGTGTAGAAGAAAATTGGTGTGGGTTTGCTATGACTTTTGAACAGAACATAAATCCTATTAACTAATATATAATAACGATATCCATTACTACAGCTCTTTAAGAATATATTATTTATCAAAATCCCTCGTGACAAGCAGGTATTAATCATTCACACCGTCAATACAATACAAAATGTAAATAATAATAGCATAACATGTACAGACATGTATGAATAGGTCAACAATCATATAGCTAGATTAAATAATTGTATTCTCCACATTATTATTACGTGCTTTAAAATGACACAATTCAGATAGATATGGTTAACATCTAATAAATATATTGTACAAGACTGACCTCAGCTTTGCAGCCATTACTGGATTTACTGCATGCTTGACATGTCATATCTGGAATTTAATCACTGCGACTCATGTTACAAATATATTTAGATATCACTAATCCGTTGCTCAATCTGTGTTATTTCCAAACTGCGCCACAGTTCAACTAGTGTTACATATTTTGATATTAATAATCCCTTGCGCAATCTGTGACATTCTCAACCTGATCCACGAGATAAAGCGTTTTGTCATTTGTTTGTAAGAAAACCCCTGTACAGTATAACAAGTCGTCTTATATTATTCATAGTAACGACGTTCGATTTTCAGAAAATATCAAATTGCTCAAGGCTTGATCCCAGCTAATGTTATTTAACATTTAATTCAGAAAGCAAAATTAAAATGTCAAGGCTAGTCACGCCCCTGCCTGGATTCAATCGGATTAAAAACAGGCCCAGCGCGGCAAAAAAGAAGACGGTCGTATTGACGGTGTAGCATTCGTCTTATGCTAGTATGGAACGTAATTTAACTATTTGTGGACGCATAGGCGTACGGGGTCGATGACATTTAGGGTGGGGGGCAGAACCCGAAATGCCCGAAAAAAAAATTCGAGTTACAGACGGCGGCGCCGGTCTTCTGCGAGAGTGGGGGAGCGGAGCTCACCGTGTGTAGCCGCCCCCCCCCTCCCTGATAATTTTGGAAAATTGGACGGCCGCGAACGCGTGTTTCTACTATTCCAGTTCGTGAATACAGCAACTTCAAAGTGGTCTAATATAGCCTAATTAAGATAGCTGACCCAAATTCCAATCAACCGATCAATCGTTTACAGTCCA